CCAGGGTCTGGCCTAGGGGTGGAATGCAGGGGCTGCCGGAGGAGACGGGAGGGCTCGTGGGGAGAAGCGAAGCCTGCTTCTGTCTTCTCTGTAAATACTGCAACACCTCCGAATGGGGGAACAGCTGAGATAAGTAGCTGCTAATCCCCCAGTGCCAGGAGGAAGCCGGGCGCTCCCTTCCAGATCCCCGCAGATGGTGCACGAAGCAGGCTTCCCCTGAGGCAAGGGCAGCGGGAACTGGCCCACCTTCTGTTCCCTCGGCCTGCCCCGCCCGGCTCCCTCACGGCCTGGCCCTGCCCAGAGGGCCTCGCTGGCCCTCAGGAGCCCTGGCGACACGCCTTGGCTTTGCCATCGCGCTGGGATGCTCAAGGTCAGCCAAGCTGGACTCTGGCCAGCAGTGGCAGCTTCAGCGGCGTTCAGCGAAGTTCCCTGGGCCTGAGCAGGAAGAGCCAGACAGTGCTGCTAAACCTCTAGCTCCGTGAATCACCTGGGAAGAGGGCTGCTGACTCATTTAAAAGGCAGATTCAGTGTCCCGGGTGAAACCAGGGAATCTGAGTTTCTGTTAGGCGGCCCAGGTAATTTGCCTGCAAATGGTTCTAGCATTCCACTCTGGGAACAGCAGCCCAAGTGGATTGGAGGGCATTTGGGGTGGTAGTGAAGAAAAGGGCACATAGTCAGGCGCCAGATTTTGAATCCTCCCCCTCCCAGGATATAGACCAGGTTTCTGTTTGTTTGTTTGTTTGTTTTCCAACTGCAGGACAGAGCCATCCTGGGTTTTGAAATCACTGTAGTTGCACAATTCGCATAAAAAATGAAATAGAGGTTCTGCTGGCCTGGCTCAGTGGTATGAACCTGGAGGTGATGGTTCGATTCCTGGTCAGGGACAGGCCTGGATTTCGGGCTCGATCCCCAGTCGGGGGTGTGCAGGAGGCAACTGATCAATGACAGCTCTCTCATCACTGATGTTTCTCTCTCTCCCTCTCCTTTCCTCTCTCTGAAATCAACAAAGACATATTTAAAAAAAAAAGAAATGCAGAATTGGTTGCACGGCAATATAAATGTACTTACCACTACTGAACTGTACAATTTTAAATGGTTAACATGGTAAATTTTATGTTATGTATATTTTACCACAGTTTTTAAAAGGGACTATCTAGAATGCACCACAAGGTGAAGTCATGTTTACATACTTAAGCAGGCGTGACAGAAGCCAATCTTAATTTTCAAATTAATTGGATCCCTGAAAAATTATGTCAAATGAAAACTCACTATTGAATTGTACTTTCCCACTGACTTTTATTTTATTTTATTTTTAAATATCTTTATTGATTTCAGAGAGAGGAAGGGAAAGGGGGAGAGAGAGATAGAAACATCAATGATGAGAGAGCCATTGTCAGCTGCCCCCTGCATGCCTCGAACTGGGGATCGAGCCCAAAACCCGGGCATGTGCCCTGACCAGGAATTGAACTGCAATCTCCTGGATTATAGGTCAATGCTCTATCACTGAGCCAAGCCGGCTGGGCACTGACTTATATTTTAAAATATATGAAATAGGGTTCAGAATTTTAAAATGTGGAAATTGGGCAATATTACAATGAACAAACATGGAACCATCACAGCTCTTTGAAGGAAAAGGTGCTCTTTCTCACCGCAAATACACTGCATATGAAAAATGCATTTTTTTCTAAGTGCGGAAAAAATGAAATTGCTTTAAAAACATTTTAAGGGTGAAGATTGTTTCATGAAACTGGCCTCAGTGCTCCACTGACCTGCCCGCCCCTACCACTCAGACTGACCCGAAGGTGGGTGGGCTGGAACTGGCCCCCTGAGCTAGGGAATTATTTGCAAAGGATTCAGGTCAATAACCATGGTGTTCAGTGATAAACCCGACTTTCCAGGAGCTCCCTTTGCCCATATGGCTGTGAACATGGGAATCTGCCATGAGCCACTCCCAAGCAGAAACTGTCTTTCACACAAATGCTTGTGAACGTCAGTCCTACTCCACTTTGGATGTTTCCCTTTTGTCGTGACTGTCCCTGTGATTCCCCCCTTTCCTTCCTAGCAGGTACCATAATCGGCCCTGCCTTTCCTGGAATTGCCCTGCAGCACATTCTGTGAGGGCTCTGTCTTATTTATCCCTGTATCCCTGTGACTAGCACAGTTCTTGTCTCATAAACATTCACTGAATCAATAGATAAATGAAATTGACCCAATTCTTCAAAAGTGAGAGCTACAGCTGCCTCCAAAAGTATCGCTATGACTGAATTGTAATCGTTAAAATTTGCTTTTATTGTCTATGTGTTTTTTCCAGGTGTCTCTAACTATTACAATAATTAATAACCACTGCCAGAAAAGAGTTATTTTGACCCTTTTCAGAAGGGAAACTGGGGTTCAAGAAAGTGAACCAACTTGCCCAGGAACAAATAAGGGTGTAGTAAGTGATAGAGGCAGGATTTGAACCCAGGGCCGTGTGGCTGTAACACCATTTCTCCCTTTTCTTGGGTTTTCTGCATCTGCCTGAGCAGAGGCAGCTCTGCTCTTTGCATCCTGTCATTTTCATTGTGAAAGGCCTACTGCTCGGTGGGCGGAGACCCCGGCCAGGCCCCTCACCTGGCTCCATCACCCAGCGGCCCCCACTTTCTTCTCCAGACTAACCCAAACATGGTTGGGGAGCTCAGCCGGGAGGGCCCAGCATTCCCCAGCCAGGACGAGTATCTAATCAGCAGGCCTCCTCAGCATATCAATCCGAGACCACTCTAGAGATGGATGCCTGTGCCCAGTTTTCTATTTTTAACTGGTGTGAACAGGAGGAAAAACACAAGCATTAAAAATCAGAGTGCCAGTCAAGAACTGAGAATGCAGGGCACCCCAGGGCAAACTAGAGGTCTGTGTCCTTCGCATGTCTCTCTGATCTTAGGCCCCTCTCCCCACTTCACGTCGTCTTTCTGTTCCCTTCTCTAAAGTCCCAAAATCTGTTTCTATGAAGGAGCTGATATCACTCATTTATACCAGTGCTTCTCACACTTAATGTGCATATAAATCCACTGGGCATCTGGCTAAAATGCAGACTCTCCTTTACTAGTTCCAGGGCCCCGGCACTGCTTTTCTAACTCATTGCGGGTTATGACGATGCCGCTCGTCGGTATGATATGGTTGAGGTTGCCGTTCTCTTGGCAAGGGTTTGCTCTCTCGGTCTTGTCTCCACCTGCAGTGAAGGGCTTTGCCCTCCCCGTTTACAGATGATCATCTCTCCACCAGCTACTTTTGGCATTTCTTTCTTCATTGATTTGGCAGCAGGGGGTCCATGTTTGGATAAAGACCGGAGCCTGAGTGTGAGCAGAACCCGGGCAGCATGGAGGAGAGCTCCCTGGTGTCTGGTCTGGGGTAAACTTGACCCCTTCTCCAGCAAGACCGGGCGAGGCTGGCACCGTGGCTCTCCGTGGCCTTTCCCCAGGCCAGCCCCTGAGCCGGGCATGGGTTGGGGACCAAGGTGGCCTTGGTTGAGCTCAGCTTTCTGCTCCAGAGGAGCACAGCCCCAGCTCCTGAAGTAAAGCCATTCAGGCCGGAGGGGACTAGACCAGAAGCGTGCCCTGCCCCAGGTGTCCTCCTGGCCACCCGAATGCGCCGCGGTGGTGCCCGGCGGGCCCCTGAGGACGGCCAGGGCCCTGCCCCTCCGGCGCCCAGGCCTGGACGACCAGGAGCTGCCGTGGCT